TGCTGATCCCTTTCTACTACAGGTTTTTCTTTGTATTTTAATCCTATCCCTATGTTAACTCTTTGTTCCTGTCCTGTGTGGTTCTCTTGAATAAGCAGCATACGATAAAAATGGTGAGAGGGAGAAGAGGGAAGCAAACAGGTCAGAATTTGGATTGCACCAGCCTTAATAAGGATAAAAGATACAAAAACTTGGAGGAAATATTTGTCCAAACAAGATATGAACACATTTTATCATCCTGTATTCCTCCCATCCTATCCCTGCACCCCATCCTATTACCACCACCTATCCCTGCAACCATTTCTCATTTCTTTCATGTAGACTGAAAAACAATCTTAAGAGCTACAATTGGGTGGAAAGAAGAATAAAAAGGGCAGCAACGTTGTATAAGTGGGGTGTGGGTGGGGTGTGTGGTAGGTTATGTTGGGAGTGGGTGAAGTTTAAACTTAATGAGGGAGACCACAGAAAGATTCATGATCATAATTTGGTCATTTAGGGACCATATTTTGGATAAAATGAAATGAAAATGTAAAATAATGAAAATTATAAAGAATATTTTTCATATGCATGTCTGGCTTCTGAGTGTGGAATATTAATTATGGACATGATAAAATTCTTTCTGGTAAAGGATTCTGCATAAGTATGCAAACTGTGAAGTATGCATGACAGGATTTCAGAAGAATGAATCTAAATACATGCTACAGAAAGCAAAACAAAGCAGAATGACACACAGAAATTAAAGAATTTAAGGACAAAGGGGGGTCACTTACATGATATGACTGGTGAGATTATAGCGGGTGTCTTTCATTTCTGACCCATTTCCATACCCAGAGAGGCCCAGGGCAGGACCCCCAATCTGGGCTAGTTGGGAGTTTGTCTGTATGCTTCTCATTCTAATTAAAGCATTTTTCTCATAACAGGTTGTTAGTTTCAATATTAAGCTCATGAAATGACAAACTCAGAGTAAGAAGAAATATTCTTTATACTGTTACTTAATCTGACATATATTAGATACCTAATATGTTGAATGATAAGTTCTCAAACAAATCAAGATAGAGCCTTCTGAAGCAAATTACTATTAATTTGTATTCATTTCTAATTGATTTTAAAACTCACATGGAAGAAATGTAGGAAACTTATGAAATCAAAGATAGATGTGAAGGGATTAGATATCAAAACATAACAATAGAAAAAGTGGGAGGAGTGAATATAAAATATCTAGTCATCTCAAGATGTACACAGAAATTTAGTATTGTAAAGGGAATATTTTAAATCATTGAAGAAGCTACATTATTCAGCAAATAATGTTGAAAACTTAGAGATAGATTTAAATATAATAAAATCATATTTCCACTTGATATTAATCTCAAAAATAAACTTATAATAATTAAACATCTATATAAGAAGCGAAGCAGAAAACTGAGAGAAAAAATAATTGTATACATTCTTCTGGACAAAAAAAGTTGACTGTAAGGAAAATCAATTCTAGGGGTCTTCTTATTAACATGATCTTTTCCAACAAGCATGAATTCGAATGCTGGCCTATTTTTTAAAGTCATTCACCTCTGTGATGTGACAGAAATTCTTTCACTCATCAATGACCTGATAGGACATTTTATTTATTTATGTATTGTGGTCTTTTAAATTTTATAAAATTTAATTATTCATTTTCTTACATCATTGTTCATTTTTGGAAATTATCTGATTTCTCCCCTTGGGAGTAACCCCATAGTTTCACCGCCATTCACCTGTGCACCATCACGTAGTCCCTTGTGCTCTTTCCTCCCTTGTTTTTACCTCCCCCTCACCCCCTCCACTGCTGTAGTCTGCAGATCAATGGCCAGCTTGCAAGTTTTCTCATTTCTGCAACCCTTTGCTCAATTTCTCTATATCCCACATGTAAGCGACGCCATCAGATATTTATCTTTTTCCTTGTGAATTATTTCCCTGAGCATAATTTCTTCCATCTCCACCCATGCTGCAGTAAATGGCAAAGTGTGATAGGAACATTTTAATATGTAGACAAGACTGGTACTATTAGTAAGAAGTAGAATTTTAATATTCCAATAATAGTATTCAGTTCACCACAGATAAACACCCAATTCTTTGGTATCATTTGTGTATTTATTGGAATGTAGATGCAGTTTCTGTACAACTGAGGGTCAAAGAAGGGCCTGGCTGATGTGGAGCATCATCCTGAGCTCCTGACAATCCCCTCTGAAATGTCAGGGTGAAGACTGGGCTCTCATTGACAGCTCCTGTCCTGCTCCTTGTCTGTTTACTGGAAATCAGTCTTACTGACTTGACCTGAAAAAATGTCAGGAAAAATTTCTAAAATTTGCTGAAGTAGGTAAATGGCAGGGGTAAAAAAAAAAAAAAAAAAAAACAGTTTTACCAAGGGCCACTGAAGTTGGATTAATCCATTTAACCTAACCCCACACAATCCTAAAGAACCTACATAAGGAAAACTGAAGGTAACAAAACCCCCTTTATTTGCAATGTTGCCTTGTAGAGAACTGGGCTCAGATCTGGGTCATAAATTTGAAGAGATGCAGACACACTGTTACTTCAATCAGAAAGATCAAAGGCACCCAGACCCACACCAAACAATGGCTCTTTCATTGATAAAGATCAATGTGTTTAAAGAGATGTAAATAATATTGAAGATCTGCAGGGACTTTGTCCTTATTTTAGGCCAGAGAAGCAGAAACCAGGGACATTCTGTCACAAGAACCACAGTGTCAAGGTCACAGAATTGGCGCACACTCTGGCCTCCAGACATAGCTTCTTTGGTAACTGTTATTTTTTTTAAAGATTTATTTATTTATACAAGAACCGGGGTACAGGCCAGATGTGCGGGAGGGTGAGAGGATTCACCAGAGACAGAGTGGGGAACAGAACAGGCAGACTGACTGAAAACACACTGCTGAGGGGAGCAGCGGGCAAGACAGGAGAGGTCTGCCCCGCCATGTGGACCCTCACCAGCAGCCGGGATGGAACTGGCGCTGCAGAGGCTGCCGACAGCTTCACAGCGCTGCGCTCAACACCTGCGCCAACAGGGAGGCCCTTTGGTAACTATTTTATGCTCCTGACTGCAGCTCCATATCCCAGCTTCCTGCACAACAGCTCATGTTCCTTCAGGCACAGCATTTAGTTATGTCTGACCCTCTCTCCTTGGTGCTTCACCCCTCCTATCCTCTCACATGGGTGAGAGGATTTCAATGTAGCACATGTGCAAGGGAGACATCAACTGAGTCATAGGTGGGATCTCTGGAGCCAATCTCCAGGAATCTGTTCTTTCTGCCCAAACCTGAGTCTGGAGAGCCCCAATTTTCTACATCTCAGCTTCTTCTTGGGGCTGTTTCGGTCAGAGGATGTTTCTCTCTCACTGTTATAGCCTTTGGACTTGGTTTTCTCTAGGGAAGCAAGAGAGCAATGATAACGAAATTGGTTTTCATCACTTTTCTTTCTTCATTCCTTCCACTCAGTAAAGAGTTCCTCCTCTGTCCTCCCTGCAGCTGTGACTCATCTGCATCCAAACCAACTCTCAGGGCCCCTGACCAGCAGCCTCACCTGCCTCTGAACCTTCCAGGTTCTCATCCATCCTCCAGGCTCTGACTCCTCTATTGGAAGAAAGAAAACCCAGGGTGCCTGAGATGTGGGAAATGTCTCCACAGGATTGGTATTTGCCCATCAGGGAACCACAAAGGTTGAGGTATCTTCCTTGAAGACCAAACTAAATCTCTACCCTTGGGACAATGGGGCTTCCCCTCACCTTGGAAAGCCAAAGGTGGTCATGGAGACCTTCCTGTCAAGGGCAGCAAAGGGTAAGGAGAGAGGTTTACAGGGGATAATGAAGTGAGGCAAGACTGAGACTTTTATTGGGAAATGATGAAAATGAAGACAGAGGGGAGCTTCAGAGGAGGCATCTCCAAACAGCACAAGTTGCTAAATGAGTAGAGAGAGGCGATATTGAGATGCCCCTTCATATTATTTGATTCAAAATACAATTGTCATTTTAGAGTTGCCATTCAAGAAAATTTTCTAAGTGCTGGGAATGTGAATTATAAAAAATCAATGTTCTATGGATGGAGCTAGAAGGGATCATGCTCAGCGAAATAAGTCAGAAAGAAAAAGAAAAATACCGGATGATGTCACTTATAGCAGGAATTTAGAAAACCTAAACAAGGGACCAATTAAAAGACTAATAAATGGGCCTCCCCTGGTGGCGCAGGCGGTTGAGTGCCGCGCTGTGAAGCTGTCCGCAGCCTCTGCAGTTCCAGTTTGATCCTGGCTGGCCGGCGAGGGTCCCACATGGCGCAGCAGATCTCTCCTGTCGCGCCCGCTGCTCCCCTTAGCAGTGTATTTCGTCAGTCTGCCTGTTCTGTTCCCTGCTCTGTCTCTGGTGAATCCTCTCACCCTCCCGCACATCCGGTCTGTGCACTGGTTCTTGTATAAATAAATTAATTAATTAAAAAAAAGACTAATTAATTCAAAGTAAAAATCAAAATCAACAAGCAACTATAAACCAGAGACACACTATGGGGGAGGTGGGGGTTGTAGGTGGGTGGGGTGGGGAGAGGAAGGACTAGGGTCAAAATAAGGGGGGGGGTGCAATTGTATGGGGAATGTAACCAAAATGAAAATGCATACATTGTGCAAAAGTGAAAAATTATGTAAGAATTATATAAAATAAAAAATATTACAAAATGAAAAAAAAAATCAATGTTCTTCTCTTTGCAGGTGATAACTTCTAGTAGAGGAAAAGTAACCAATAGACAGTTCTAAGTCTTTTGTAAAGATTAGAAGACACTGGGACAGCATAGTACAAGGGGAACTGCTGCTTCAAAAGGCAATTTATTGGGCCTCCCCAGTGGCGCAGCGGTTGAGCGCTGGGTTGCGAAGCTGCCCGCGGCCTCTGCGGCGCCAGTTCGATCCCCAGCTGCTCCCCGGCCACCAGTGGAGGGTCCCACATGGCACGCAGACCTCTCCTGCTGCCCGCTGCTCCCCTCAGCAGTGTACTTCGGTCCTTCTGCCTGCTCTGCTCCCCGCTCTGGCTCTGGTGAATTCTCTGTCCCTCCCGCGCTTCTGAATGTACCCAGTGCATGTATAAACAAACAAACAAAACTAAATAAATAAATAAATAAATAAATAAATAATAAAACATGCCTCTATTAAAAAAAAGATTTATAAAAAAGAAAAAAGGCAATTTATTTACATGAATCAAGCCCACCTCAGGCAAAATGAAAGTTGTGGCCAGATATGTCCTTGTCTGGCTACTTGCTGTAAAGCACCCTGTGCCTTCAGGCATGGATGGCAGCTCCTCACATCCCTGAATGTTCAGTGCTGCTCAGGGAATCCTGCGTGTCCTCTCAGTTCTCCTGACCCTCCCCCTCCCTTCCATATTCTATAAACTGCTTCCTCATCTTTGAAAATTATGATTGTCCCCTCAGTCCCATTCTTCTCAAATCCCCCAATGCAATTAATTTTGAAACCATCAAATAAAATAAATCTATGATATTTTTCCATAAAACACAAAAATTAACATTTTATTGCCTCTAGTATTGACTCTTCAGTGCATGGCTAAGTGTGCTTCCAAAGTTAAAGTTTACACAAAATTTTGAAAGAAAAGAGTGTAATTTCCAGTAGCAATGAGTGATGATCTGTGACACCAAGTATTTCCTCTACAGCATTTTGGCTATACTGGCCAAAGAACTATGAATATTTATGCTTATGTTTAGAAAGAATACATTATATGTGCTCTGCTCTTACTAACCCAATGCTAAACCACACTCACACTATCCATATGGAAACTATTAACCACGGAAAGTGCATCCTCATTCTGTTCCTCCCACTAATAGTCTCACGCTACAAGAGGAGTTTGTGTGGGGATTTATGTATGTTTACTCTTACAAAAAGTAAATTATAAAAGAATCATGAAGATTAATCAGGATAATAGAATAAGTTAATTTGTCAGGTAAGATCAGTAAAGAAGAAAGGATTAGCAATTTCGTTAGGAGTAAAAAACACTCATCAGTCACAGAAGATTTGTGCCCTTGGAACTGTGGAGAAATGGAATGTGTCTCAGAACTCTCTGGCCCATCTATCTCTGCTGTCCCAACAGATACCAGCCTCCTAGGAAATTTCCATTCCCTCCTAGCAAGGAAAATGTACTGACCATACCTGAGCAGATGACTCCTGCATCCTCGGAATGACGGCAGTTGTGTTCCCCCCAGCCCTGAGACGGGCAATTCCACACGTGGGATTCCTTTCCTGTGCACTGCAGCTCATCCAGCCAGATGCTCCCTGATCCCTTCCCGAAGTGAGCAGAGACCATGGCATTGAGGGCGTCTCCACAGCCCAGCTGTCTGCACACCACGTGGGCATCACGCAGATCCCAGCTGTCATCACAGATGGTGCCCCAGGAGCCCTGGTGAAGGATCTCCACTCTGCCGGCGCAGGGATGGCCTCCGTCCACCAGGCGGAGCTGTGTGCTGTCTGAGGAGAGAGAGTAGGGCCAATGGGGCATCTCATTGGGAAGGAGAAGGCTTTCCTGGTCCTGGGGGACCTTCACCTAAACAGTTGGCAGCGTCCTCCGCTAAGGCTGCAGAGCCTGCTGGTGGAGACAGTGCTTGCACTCAGGCAGCACCTGGTTTCTTACAGCAGGTACCAGAGCAATAAAGGTGAAAATAGGAAAGAACAGGAGAAATGTAGCTGAAAACAACTAGTGAGCAGTCTGAGAGAGCAGGTGTGACCAGGTCCTGTCAGAGTAACCCTGATGTAGAGTCTGCTGGCATCTGAGATGTCCAGAGATGTCAGAATCCCTGCCCTGAGCAGTTAAATTAGTGCAGAGTGGCTGTAAAGGACTACTAGCTGGTGGGTTCCTTATAAATCACACCCACTTCCTGGTAATCAAATTAAAGGGAACTTTTGTGAGCTTATCAGAATACTCATAGACAGCCATGAAACCCGTTCCAGTGACAGCTTTGCTTGGTATAGTCACTCGCAGCTGGAAATTGAATGGATCATGAGACAGGCCATGATTTACCCAGAGTATTTCATTTATGGTTCTAGGCTCCAGAATGAACTTCTCTTTGAGTAGTCGGGGCCACCTCACTTGAGAGATGATGTCAGATGAAACTAACATTGGCCAGAGACACTGGGCATCAAACATCTGCTTCCTCCTCAAAACAATATAATGTCTACTTGACTTCATGTCAGGGATTTTCTTTATTTAAAATTTGGAATTATTCATTTTGTAGGGGAAAGTATCTCTAATCCCACCACACAGCAGAAACAGGTTATATTCCTGAGCTGAAAACATTCAAGCAGTTGTGACAGATTCTCTGTATTATTATTTTCTCCTTTTGATAAATGAAAAAAGTGATACACCCAGAGGTTAAATAATGTGTCAATATTGCAATTTAAGTAAATGATGAAATAGAGATAAAAGCTAGAGCTTCTGCTAAAATAAATAATGGAGGAGTTGTAGGTTTTAACTCCATTCCATGACTGAATTAAAGTAAGTGCTGGTGCTGGAGGGTGAAATAGGAGACTTGAAGGCCATGTCCCTAGAGAAGGTCATCTCACAAATATTTGCCCAGTGCATGTGTTGTGAGGGCAGGAGGCCAAAGCATGTCAAAACTCTTGGAAAGCAGAGTGGCTATTCCTTTATTCTTTTGGTGCTGAGCTACCAAAATATCTAGCCTTACATCTGAATTCTGAGTTCCCAGAATGCCCTTTCCACAGGCATAGAGATAAGCAGAGATAGACTGAGTGTCACCCAAACTTCCAGTGAGGCTTGTTCCAGCTCAGGTCTGGGTTACAGTTCGATATCTGGGTGCTCAGCAGCCCCTGCCTCACCTGCCTAGCTGAACAAAAGATGATGCTTCCAAGTGTCAGAAAATATATCTGGTGTTTCCTATTTTTTCATACACAAATTTTAACATTAAATATAAAGTTACATGGCACATAGAAAGATGGGCCCACATGACATAGTGAAAAAGAAAACAATATAAGAGAAGTTAGAAACACACACAATAAATACGTTGAAGTTAGCAGATAAGAGTTTTAACTATGATTCATGGATTCAGTGAGTAAGAGGAAAAAGACAAGAAACAGTTCAAAAGAAAAGAATTTAACATAGAAATGCAAATATATTGAAGATATCAAAATAACAGTTGCCAACTAAAAACAAAACATCAATGGGTAAGAGGTGAATGAATTAGTTTAAAACAATTTTATAGAACTCAAGACAGAATTGTGAATTAGAGGAGTCCTAGAGAGGAGGGAAGATGAAATGAGGAGAAGGGAGAGGAGGACAGACAGAGACAGAGAACAGTGAAGTTGTATTTGAAGAGATAATGGTTGAGAATTTAAAAACATGTATGAAAGCTATGACTCACATTTTCAGGAAACTCAGAGAATACCAGGGAAGATATGAAATCCCCAACACCTTGTAAAGCTGATAAAAATCAAAGCAAAAGAGGAATATTATTGTTTAATGAAAAAATAAGACCTAAAATTGGAGAGAAAGGGCATGTAAAGCACGTGAGTCAATTAAAAGTAAGTGGTAGATACTCACTCAACCATATCAGCAACTGCATTTAAAGTAAATGGATCAGATACTTCAATTAAAAGCAAATCAAGATAAAACAAAGCAATTCAAGTGAATGTTACCTGTCTATCAGAAAAAGGCAAAGAAAGTTGAGAATAAAATGATGGGAAAATATATATACTATGGAAACATTGTTAAAACACACATTGATGAATGTCCTATAGACCAGATGAAAGTTGTAGGTGACTGGGAAGACAAATTTAAAATATTCCCATGACTCTCTTCTATGAGACAAGCCTTTATTAAAGTAGTGACTTCACATTCAGAAAGGATGACAGAGAGCGGCAGGTCCTGACTGCGTGTGCCGAGCTCAGGGGAGAGTCAGTGCTCTTTGGCACCTGATACCAGGACTGCAATTAAACAAGGAGATGGGGCAACTCGTGTGAGCCTGTACTTGAGTCATATGCTCTTTTTTTTTTTTGATTTATTTATTTTTATACAGGCCAGATGCACAGGAGGGTGAGAGGATTCACTGGAGACAGAGAGGGGAACAGAACAGGCAGACTGACGAAATACACTGCTGAGGGGAGCAGCGGGCGAAACAGGAGAGGTCTGCCATGCCATGTGGGATTCTCCCTGGCTGGCCGAACTGCGTTGCAGAGGCTGCGAACAGCTTCACAGTGCGGCGCTAAACCGCCTGCGCCACCAGGGAGGCCCTTGAGTCATATGCTCTTAACAGATATTGTCTCTGAGGAGAAATCATGCTTGTCAGAGTGAAGTGTGATTTCTTCTTGGTAAATGAACTCATTGCTTTCACAGCTGGAGAGGCCAAATGGAATCAGCACCAATTTTATATTTCATTTTCAGAGTGCACTTCTACCCCTAAGAACCTCAAAGCCTGCAAGGGACACCTGTCCTCACAAAGGGTCAGTCATCAGGAATAGAAGTTTCAAGAAATATAAATGAGGATCAGACTCCTATTGAGAGGAGAATTTCCCAAAGAAGAGAGAGAGAGATTTCTGAGTGGAGGGGCTTGAAATCAGGAGGAAACAAGGGATCAGAAAGGGGTGGAGAGGAAGGAGCATCTAGAGCAGCCAGGCCCAAGGCACATACCTGAAAGACTGGCTGACCAGGATGTGCTAGATCATTGTCAAGTCAGGGCTCAACACTGTTATCTTGGACTCAGCTGTCAGGGGCCCAGAGATGAGCAGATGTCATGTAGGTTCTGGGGGACTACAGGGAGAAAACCCATCTAAGGACATTCACAAGCTCAGGGCTCTTCCTCAACAGCAGACCCTTAAGATCAGAATGGGGGGGCTGCAATTGTATGGGGAATATAAAAATAAAATTTATTATTTAAATTAAAATAAATAAAGAAATAAAAGAATGTGAAAAGACAATTAAAAAAAAAAAAAAGATGCCACAGACACGAAAGAGATCCCACTGGGACGGGGAACACTTGCCCAGAGGGACCCATCCTGGTCTCACAGGCCACATTCCTCTGCCTGCAGTGCTTATCTCAGTCCCCCAGGGACACCTACATTTACATCACCCCCCCTGGGGTGAAAGACCATGGAGTCAACATGTAGAAAGGGAAACACCACAGGCAGGGAGACAGAGTACTGCCAGCACCCAGTTTTGGGGGATGACAGTAAAGCAGAAAAACTTTTGAGCTGTGGGTTTGTGGGGAAGAAAAAAGCAAGGTACAGGCAGGTTTGGATTGCAGGTGCAGGGGTATCTGGGGGGGGGTAATTAAAGTTTCTATTGGGAGGGTTTTCTTTAAAGGTATCCATATCTGCCCTCATCACAGACATGTACACACACATCACCACTATCACTTCACCACAAATCCAGCCATCTGCCTTAGAGTGTGATTCTGTGGACCCCTTTCTAGAAAGCTGACGTGCCTGGCAGACACGCTCCTGCTCATACATTCACCCTTCATATGCTCTTCAAACTTCCCTTATACACACCTGTCTCTGTCTGTCTCTCTCTTGCTCTCTTTGTCTCATCCTTATGCTAACAGAGCAGAAACGCAAAATCCTGTTGTGGAGCAATCCTGTTGGGGAGATTCAGTACTGGGTGCAGGAAGGAATCTGAGAGATGCAGCCTCAGGATGTCACTCAGTCATAATCCATTAGAGGAAAACTGGGAAGTCATCAAATATTTTCATTATTTTGAAATGTTATTGAGGAGGACTGAACACAGATTCTGGTCAATCTGAGAACAAGCATTGAATATGGCCAACATCTCACAGCCAAACTAGAAAAGCAGAGGCCCTCAGGGAAAAAATGAACATTCACTGTCACTAAAGATCACATTTGGTCAAAACCAAGGGGTCAGAGAGAAGTTGCCTTGGCAATCCAGGGCTCACCCCCCAGAGTCTGAGAACTGATCCAGTGTCTCTGCTGATCTTAGGAAGTGAGGCTCTGCTTACCTTGGGCGCTCGCTAGGATAGCGGAGAGGAGAAAGCCAAGTCCTGTGAGAAAGAAGTGTCCATTCAAGGTAGTTCCGAGCCTCATGTTATCAGGTAACAGCCTCAGTTTCCCCAAATATACAAAGAAACCCCTCAGTCCTTATTGGGGGCTCCCTCTCATAGCAGGAGTTTATATAGTCCCACCCCCTGACTTTGCCATCTTCCAGAGCCAATAGAAACCCTGTTAAACATCGTCCCTGCATCAAACACTCCATAAACGGAAACTTTCTGAGGCTCAACCAATTAGATGCTCTATCTGAGATGTCTCCTTATACGAGAGGAGAGGTTTTCTGACACCAGGTGTCATCTGGCCCCACAGCGGACACAGAAAAGCTGAATTAGTGAAAGATGCGTGACCGACTCTCCCCCCCGGGTCTGGTTCAGTGACTGGTTCAGCTCAGCTGGGAGGGGTCAGGTGGTGCTGATGTTTCTGGGTCAGCTCCACCACCCCTGGGCCCACGTAAAGAGGACTGTTTTAATGAACCTACATCTCCTGAGTCAAGTGCCCAACAAGTTGTGGCTACAAAGAAACAAGAAGAATCTACGGTGAGAACAAAAAGTCAGATGAGTAGGAAACTGGTTTAGAATGAAAAGTTCCGGACCTCCCCTGGTGGCGCAGTGGTTGAGTGCTGGGCTGCAAAGCTGCCCACAGCCTCTGCAGCACCGACGCAACAGACCTTTCCTGCAGTACCCGCTGCTCCCCTCAGCAGTGTATTTCGCCTGTTCTGTTCCCCGCTCTGGCTCTGGTGAATTCTCTCACACTCCGTGCTTCTGACTGTACCCAGTGCTTATATAAATAAATAAATAAATCTTTAAAAAAAAAATAGAATGAAAAGTTCTTTGGGGAAAAACATTGAGATTGGCATTAAGGGAACACAATCACTATCCTTATAGGGTGGGAGGGTCCCCTTTTTCTACTTCTAGTTTGTAAAGAAAGCCTCATAATATATGGGGTTTCAGATGCAACTGGTATAAAGTCTGTCTGTCTTTCCTTCTGTCACATATTTACCCCTCAAAACTAACATGACCAGTACAGACACCTCACCAGTGCTGGGAGCCATGCTACTCATGTTGTCTGACAGAGGTCTGGGCAAGGGGCAGATTCCTGAAAAGTCAGGAATCTTGTTAGCTGACTCCTGCAGATTCTTCTTATTTGTTTATGGCTAGTTTCTACCATGGTTAATATACGCTTTTAAAAGTAAAACTGCAAATGCTGCTTGATCAATTACTGAATAACCAATTTGATGGCAAATGGCACTGCGTGATACAAATATTACATTTTTTATAAAATTAGTAATCCTCTGCCAAAAGGCAGTAATTCAACATTTGGCCTCACATTAGCAAGTGAAAAACTTCTGGGAACAAAAGGCTGTAAACATCCCTAGGCCAAGTCTTTAATATGGATATGTGGTCTTTTGAGGTGAGGGCTAAATGAAGAAGAAAATTCTTTTACTTTGAAGTTAAAGACAGCAGTTGGGTGGCAGACATGAGCCGTGCACCAAGTGTAAGAAAATTCCTGATACCAGGAGGCGCCATAGACGGCTCCTGCTAAATTCTTCCTGTTTGTTTAGGGCTGATTCTCCTGGAGGTGACAATTGGTATGGTAGCTGTTAGAGTGTGCATTCAAGAATAAGTCAGCAACAATTTTGTGACTGGTTGAGCTAATAACCATGGCAGCACAAATAATGCACTTGGAAACAGTCTATGTTACAACTACTGATATGTCAGATATTAACCGTTCTGGAAACCAAAAGCTATAACCATCTCCTGCCCTGCCTCCAATAAAATATTTGTAGTTCTTTAAACAACAATCAGCAATCTTACAGAAAAAGGAATTTTCGCTTGATCTTAAAGTTAGATGCGGTAACTAGGCTGACGAGATAAGTATAGGAATAATAGGTAGAAAAACTCTTTTGTGAAATTAGGAGAATTCCTCCCTTAATTGAGAGCTTGGGGCTAGGGAAAAGTCAATGCAGCTTCCCTCCCCCAGATAACTTCTTGTCCTTTGCTTCTCCTTGTCCTTAGTTAATTGTTTACCATGGTAAGCACAGAAATGTAAGTTTCAATCACATAAGTTTTTTACTAGTAATAGAATGATTGTTTGGTTGTTTAAGGTAAATGACTATTCTAAGAACACTTTTGTTTAGCAACTGTGCCTTCTTTAAAACAAAGAATAATAAATGTCACTGTTATAGGACAAGGAGAGGGGCAGCCCAAACCCCGCAAACCTGCCTATTCTAAATGGGTTCTGCCATCCGCCGCATCAACACAAAACATAGGAGACTTTAATGGGAAGGAACTTTAATAAAAACTAGGAAACAATACAGGTAAGGCAAAGAGTCTAGTTTCTAAATGAAGCACCCAAAGTTACCCATCCCCTCGTGGGTAAAAGTCCATCCATATGGGATTGGCCCAGAGCAAGGTCCCAAAGCCTGCCACAAGTCTAAAACATCTTCCAGTGGGGACCCACAGAAAAGGGTCACAAACAACCGGACAAGCCCGGAAGGAAAAGAGCAAAATCAACATCCAGATAAAAGCTGCATTGTCACCTCCCCACGGGTCTCACCCACATCTGTGTCACCCAGTCCACGACCAAAAGACAAGCACAGTTTCTTCACGTGTCTCTAGGCTCCATGCGCCTCCTCCAGGTCTCCTGGCTCCATCCTGCTTCCTTCCTCAGTCTCTTCTGCAGCTTCTCCTCTTCCTGCTCAGCTCCACCCTCCCTTGGGTGGGGCAAGGAACCTCCCCCTTTCCTGGGGACCACCCTGTTACATCACGACCTCTGCAGGAGGGCAAATTGACCCTTGGCTGTTCTTGAAAAAGATGTGATGATTGTTATCTTCCTGCCTTAATGCATATGCTTATGCACTCTCACGGTTGGCTTGAAATGTATAAATACAGAGCTGCTGAGACCCTCAGCAGGATGATGTCTGCACCCTGACCAAGTGTTTGCGTCTCCTCACTCCCCCTCCCCCTCATTTCCACAATTGTACCAACCCCATCCCATCTTTGAGGAACCCCTGACACCCAGGCTGCTGTGGCTGGCTCGCACTTAGCACACCAGGAATAAACTATACTTCCCTGGAACACGGTGGGTCTATACATATAACATAACTACAAAATTCACCCCCATTTCACAATGTGGCAATCTGCACCTGGCAGCCCAGTCTGTAATGGTTAGTAAAAGCATGCCCTTCTGCTCCAGGGTCCTCATTATGGACATTTCAATCCCTCTGCCTCCCCTTCCTCCTTTCATTTTCATATGAGCCTCTTATTCAACTTCCATATTCTCATCTGCCACCTTGAGGCCAAATAAGATGGTGTCATTACAGTGCTTGGAAATGGAAACCTTTGGACACAAATTGCTTGAGCTCATCCTTGCTGACAACAAAACAGCCTTTATCATTTTATCAAATTAACAATTCTTTATTAAAATACAAATGACAAGTGGACCTCCCTGGTGGGTCAAGGGGTTAAGCACAGACTGTGAAGCTGTCCACAGCCTCTGCAGCATGAGTTCGATCCTCGGCGGGCCAGGGAGCTACCCGCATGGCGCAGCAGACCTCTCCTACCTCACCTGCTGCTCGCCTCAGCAGTGTTTTTAGTCAGTCTGTCTGTTCTGTTCACTACTCTGTCTCTGGTGAGTCCTCACACCCGCACCTCTGGCCTGTACCCATTTCTTGTATGCATAAATAAATAAATCTTTTAAAAATAGATATAAATGACAAATGTCACTGTGTCTATTTAAGGTGTGTATTGATATGCTTATACATGTATCATGTATGTATATATATGGATTTATACATATATGTGTATAACATATGGAGGTGAATACTACCATGTATTACTTAACACTATATCATGTCCCATGATTATTATGTTTTTTGTGGTAGAACAACTAAGATCTAGTTTCAGAGCAACCTTGAAATTTATAGTATAGTGTTGTTGTCCATAATCTCCACACTGTGCATTAGATCTCTTGGACTTATTCATCTAGTACTTATAATTCCTTATCCTTAAAAAGCATCTCTCCAATAACCCATCCCCATCCCTGGTAATCTCTACACTTTATTTGAGTTCAGTCACTGTTAGATTCCACATACTGGTGATATCATAAACTATCTGTCTTTCTCTGTCTAACTTATTTCAATTAGCATAAACCCTCCCACCACACTGCTGCAGGAAACTAGACCCAGGTGCTTCCCCTGTGCACCCACTACATGATTCTACCAGCAGGCTCTGCAGCCTCAGAAGAGGACACTGCCAGCTGCTCAGGTGATGGGCCCCCAGCACCAGGAAAGCCTTCTTCTGGATGAGACAACCCATTGACCTGATTCTCCCTCCTCAGACAGCACACAGGTCTGCCTGGTAGACGGAGGCCATCCTGTACCAGCAGAGTAGAGATCTTCACCAGGGCTCCTGGACACTCTGTGTGATGATGGCTGGACCTGCCTGATGCCCATGTGGTGTGCAGACAGCTGGGCTATGGAGAAGCCCTCAGTGCCACAGTCACTGTTCACTTTGGAGAGGGAACAGGGTCCATCTGGCTGAATGAGGTGAGGTGCAGAGGTGCTTGTCCCTGCGGCCCTGGGAAGACCTGGAGGCAGAGTGATTATAAATAGGAAGCCTGCAAAACACTGTCTTAAAAAAATAACATCTGGGAAACATAATCTGACTATTTTAGTAATCTGACTACAAAGTCTTAATCAGGAAATATTGAAATTCGGATATTTTGCTGGCTTATGCAATGAAAATGAAACATTTGGCCTAGAAAAAAATATCCGTAGAACATAGAGTGAATGGATCCTCTATTTAGGAACCATCAGACTCTTGGGTGAAAAGCTACTCTCAGGGTAGCTCATACCTAGCTACCCATTTACTGTGTTTTTACTTGGCCACCTCCTGTACCCTTCAGAGGCCTTATGCCCCAGGCAAGTGTTATGATAATGCTGAAGATGTGGCAGTACTAGAGGATCCATCTGCATCTGGGAGGTGCAAGGGGGGGGTTCCCCTACAGGAGGAGAATGTGATGAAGGTCACTGAGACAGGTAAGTGGGGAAGTTCATCTGTGATCTTTCACCTCTGTCCTGATTAGGATTATTTTGAGCTCCCCCAAGCCTCTCATCCTGCATA